CAAGTCCTACAAACCATCAAACAACAAATGCTCACAGAAGACCAAATAAAAAAATAAAAATAAAAATGGATAGACACTTTGCATTTACACCCTCATATCATGAATCAAATAAATCTCTCATAAACAGTGAAGATTATAAGTCCCGTTACCTACTGAAAATAGCTATCCTATCTAGAATGTCTTTTGGAGGCTTAAACAACATTAACTTCAAAGTGATTAGAAGGGTTAGTTGGCTTTCCCTTTCTAAGATAGAAGTCAGCCCAAAATAGTCAAGCATCCTGCCCCCTATAGTCAAGATGTATGAGTCCCTTCGTAAGCATCATTCTAACAAATAGATGAATAAAAACACATTGCCCCTATTCTTGCATTAGACTTTGGAAGGGTTGTATCATGAACATATAATAAGTCAATGCCTTCGGTAACTATCTCAAAGCATTTTAAAACTGTAAATTCATTAATAGAATTAGGTACGAGGCAAATTTCCTTAACTTCAATACTACAAGCCTTCACATTGCTTAATAATATTTCATTATTATTACGAAAGAGTGAGTCCCACTTTTAAAAAATTGAATCAACATGAATATAAAAACACTGTTTAAAATCAAATTAAAAATAAAAATACACTTTAAGACATTTTAGACCCTAAAGCATCCTTAAAAATCAAGGTTAAATGCTCCCAACTTTTATTTGGAATCTAGATATCCTTTAATCAAGTTGAGTTAAACTGATTTAATTCCTATATCGAATCCCTCAAAACTAAGAAAATTGAGATCATAGTTAAACATACCCTGAATAATTTTCCTATATTATTCAAGAAATTTTACATAAAATGTTTTAAAATCTGCTGCCTTCTAGCGAAACCATGAGGAGTTTGTTTTTTATTTCTAGACATAGCACAACCATTTCCCATGAAGGCTCTATTGTAGCTCATTATCCACAAAAGAGGAGGATTTTATCAATTATAAAGAAACAACACACTAAACAATTGCACCAAAAACACTCTTCAATAAACATAATTATACCCAATCTCACTAAGAAAATAATTAATTTCTAAAGTCGAACAAAAGAAAGAATAACAAAAGAAAGAATAACAAAAGAAATAGAATAAAAAAAGAAAAATTGAAACTACTATAAATTACCCAATTAATACTTCCTCAAATAAGCAACTTCTATGAAATCATCACAAAATAAAATAGGGTTCTCTTCTTTTCTTTCTTTACCCATTCATTTTTTTACTCTCTACATCTACTCTACAATGGAGAAAAAAGATTCATGTAGTCGACCCCACATAGTAGGATTAAGTCTTTGTTGTTGTTGTACGTCTACTCTACAAAAAAGCAATTGCTTACCAATTTCTCTTCTTATTTCTTACCAAATTCAGCTCAAACAAATTCACTCACGAACTTTCTCACAACCAAATATCAGACACACGCATGGGATGACACATGCACGGGTCAACCTAAAGATCATAGGCCTAAAGTCCATATATCAGCCTAATATTTATAGGAGTTTAAGAAGTTAGAGATCGAATTTCAAACTCTAAATTTGTATTTGTCTTAAAATAATGTTTCTTACACGGTTTTGAAAAGTAATTAATCAAAAAATAAAATCACTCTTTTTTATTTATTTTAAATATGCTTCTTTGAACTTTTACACTTACCTTGAAAAAGTATTAATTTATAATATTAAAATTAAACTCACTATCATTTTTTTTGTCAAGATATGGAATCCATCTAGTTCGAAATATACAACTTTTAGTATCTCAACGTAAATGAAAGAAAATAGAATGTAAATTAGGATGCAAACCACATTACATGAACACATGAGTTACTATTATTCAAAAAATGGCCCCAAATGGTTACTGAACTTCCCAACTACCACTTGTCGCTCACCATCCACTTCATTCAATAAAAATCTCCAAACCTCAAAATATGAATCATGAATATGAACACAAACATGGTAAAACAGTAAAACAAACACAATGTGAATGCAACTACATAACAAAACTGTAAGCAAAAACATTACATGCCATAGATAAAATGTTACATTTTTATAAAAATATGTAATTTATAATACTTTTGCTCAAGGAAATATCTCATGAATTATAATATTATATACATATACTTCACAAAAAAAAAGCTTAACAATAATAAAAAATAGCCAATATAAATCATAAAAGAGATGCTTCATCACATATGCAAGTATCATTCTTTAAAAACTCTCCATTATGTTCCATTAATCAATCTCAATTGTCAATTAATTTTGCATATATATTGATATCATATGAATGGGCTATATATCCCTCACACGTGCCCACGTAACATGTCAAGCTAGGTCTCTAACCTGTGTTGCAAACTAATCTTGAAAAGATTCTAACACAATTTTTAGCATGTTAAACATTTATTGGGGCATGTAGAAAAATGTGTCCAAGTCAAGACATCCGACACAAAAACAGATGATATTTGAAATAATTTTTCCTTCCTAATCTCACTCATTTGCCTTCCAACAACTTGATTTAAGTGGTCATAGGTTCATATTTGAAGCCATAAAAAGCATGGGCATGGAATGATTTAAGTAAAGCCCGTGGATGAGTGAGAAAGAAAAATTCTCTCATTTGGTTGACTGATATCAAAAATTTTTATGGGTGAGTAACTCAACATGATTTTTTATGAGTGAATCCCAACTTTCTCTTGTCTAGATTTTGTTTTATAGTAGTCGGTTTGATCGAGTAAAATATTTTGTACAAGGAATGAATTTCAGTGGAATTAAACGGGATCAAGCCAAAAAACTATTCACCTCAAATTTTATTCATAAATTGAAGGTCATCTCATCACAAAAAATCTTATGAATCCAAGATTGAGCCTAAACCAACCATATCTTTCTTAAGTATGCAAGTCTCAGTGAAAGTGAGATCTATTCAGTTAAGTTTTTGTCTTGGATTTGGATTGTTTGCCAATACTAAAGTGAAGAAAAGCAAGGTGAAAAATATGTTCAAATTTTCATATAAATATTTTTAGATGATCTTTCATATATCCAATTGCATAGGTGAAGGCATAGTCAATTATAATTTTATATCTGGATCTAGAATCATGAATAGATAGAGGTGGCATGTGTGGGGACTTCTCTAGAAGAAGTTCTCACGGGGGATCCTGAGATAAATAAGAGTGAGTCATTCAAGTTGAGTTGAACCAGCTTTATCTCGAATTTGTAGCATGTCCATTAATGAGTGATAGATGATAATGTCTCCATTTGTCACTATGCAAGCATCTGAGGGTCAGCCAGACAATGCCGGAAAAACTCTCATCGCGATATTTCAATTGATGATGTTTAATCATGTTAAGGAGTTTTCAATATTGTGTGGCTTGATTGACAATATTCTAACATTTTAAAACTTTGTCAACAACTATAAACCCTTATTTCAAGTGTCATTTGCAGTGAATTGCTTCTCTTAAGAAAAACCATTTTGATAAAAAGAAAATTCTACCATCGTTATCATATGGCAACCTCAAAATTGAACTTTTAAAACATGAAAATATTATGGAACTCGGATTGCCACCTAAAATTATTGTCGACTATCTTGGGTGTTTCAAAATTTGTGCATCATCCATCTACTAGAAGACTATCCTAGTCATTCATAGTCACCTTCTCAACCTTTCCCCATTGCTTTATCCATTGTCTCATGATCAAGTTGCCTCCAACTCAAAGAGAACAAGTTAGTAAGAGAATTGTTCCAACCATACTCAATTGCATCCTTGACCTGTTTGCATCACTTTATTTGTCTCCTCAAGGTTGCATCTACCTCTAATTGGAAGTTTGTTTCGATCATCTTTACTAGCGTTCACAACCTTCCTATATTGCACCATCCGCTTAAGGTTGACCCGCCTCCCCCTCCAAGAGGAAGCCTTTCCTAACCCTCAACAATTTCCTACTAACCTACAATTTCAACATAATGTTGTTATGAGCCTAGGATAAGGATAGTCCTAAAAGCTTCAACTAACTCAACAAAATTTTCAAATCAGTGGGGATGACTTCTCCAAATTCAAGAAATAGACAAAAGCTATAATTCATATTAATTTCCATCTACTAGTTAAAGCTACTTCCACTAGGACATGCTTCATGTTTTTTTCATTTTCAAATTTTTCATGTGAAGAATCTACAAGCATGCTCAATTTAAACTTCAATGTGTGAAAAATGTTATGTATAGCTAAAACTATCAAGTTGGTTTTTATATATAATGATTTGGCAGCTAGCATGCAACAATAGTGATAAATTCCTTCAGCTATATACTTCCAATTTTGCTTCATTTTCTTAGAGCTACATCAAATTTGTATTAGAACGAGTTAATGGAAGTGGTACATCACCAGATATCAAACTTCTCTCCAAATAATCTTCAATGAAGGTGGAATGATAAAGTATTCATTAGATGGATGTAGCATATCCAAACAAAACTCGCCAACCACAATCCAACACATTCAATTGCCGTTTCCAATCACCAACCACCCCTCTTTAACAACTTCATTTAATTAGAAAAGAGCTCGTATTTGGGGCTACAAAAAGCACTAATATGAAATGTAATGGATGGGTGAGTCAACTTAGGTAATTGAATACCCTGATGTTATAGGTGAACGAGTTTCCACAGTTTTGGGTGAGTGATTCCTCACTTAACCTCAAGTATTTTTTTCATTTAGGCAATTACTACTTTCAATTTGTTCAGCAGACTACACCAAAATTTTTCAAGAAGATAAAACTGAAATCAATCAGTTAGCTAAGAATTCAGCTCTGTCTTCATATACTACTACAATTTTACAACTTGTAAGAAAGTTTGCAAGAAAGTAGAAATATCCTATCAACGTAATAGTTCGCATAAGTATAATCTCGTCACATTTAGCCGATTTCCAACATTTAATCAATTAAATGAAAGTTCTAAATAAAAATATCCATCACGACAAAAATAATATTAACAAAAGTCATGCAGCAAATTCTAATCAACGAATCAATACCTGAATAGGAAACAGTTTGGTGATACTCTTTCTTGCGAGCGCCGAGACAATTTCCTGCGAAATTCCAAGCTTGGCGATCTCAAGCCCATCGTCCCCTCTCTTCCCTTCGTCATAGTACTCATCGACGGCGAACTCTGCCCGCGTAATCTCACTCGCTCTAAAATTGAGCGGCAACGCAGAGAAATGGAACTCCCTCCGCCCAAGGTCTCCGATCGAAGGCTTCCCCGCCTCCGCAGAAGTCCCATGCAGTCCTCGACATAAACATGCCAGAGGAGCAGAAGACGACTCCCGAGGGATCGCGGCAGCAAGCCGCGATAGCTCAGAGGAAAGGAGGGCAACAATAGCCTGCCTTGACGTCGAAGAGTTGGTAATGGACGCTGACCTCCGAAATAAAAAGTTCATCTTGGCGAAGCCTGACGATAAATTACAGAGCAAGGATAAACCCTAGAAAACGGCTAGGGTTTTGCAAACTACAACGAAAGAAGGCGTAGCGGCCAAGGGAGACTAGTCCTAAGGTGGTTTTGATGGAGCGAAGATATTTTATGCTCTGTTCCCCT